GCCGTGTCAACACTGTAATGGTCTCCTTTGCGTCTGTCTCATAACGCAACGAAACGTTGCGTGATTTTTAACGTGACGGCTTCTAAGAGGGCTACACTTATCACTTTGTAAAATAATAACAAGATTTCAATAAACAATTAATGATCTTATGTCGTCAGCGTTCGTTATTTGGTCTGTCACGCAATGCTATGAAACCCAAATTCAAGGCATCTGCTGATGTTCTAATTGTTACCTCTACCTCACGGCTCACCATCGTTTTCATTTGCCTATTGTATGTAGCTTCCATGAGACTCAGCACCTTTCGTAGCATCTTCCAGGCGTTTAGTTTATTTTTTCGCGCACCGTTTTTCGCGCTTCGCCCCAACTAACTGAACGCGCTTTTTTATTTTTTTTCGCCCACCGCGCCCCAGCTAACTGAACGCCTGGAAGAGGCTATACCTTTCGTGGAAGAACGTTTGACCGGTGTACCAAAGATATCAGGTCCTTGCGGAGGAACTCACAATTTGTCTTCCGAACAGCTATTAAAATCACAACCGGAAGCTGCAGAGTTCCCCACCAGCCTCGCGCTAGAGCGGGGCTGGGTTCTAAAATTACAAACTTCCGGGCGCGAAAAAGCGACTTCCGCTCGTGCGACTTTGCACGCTTTCTGCACAAAAACTGACAATAGTTGTTTTTTCTGCTCCGGTCGTGTGTGTTTACATGCCTTCCCCGCAATCGGAGGGACATTTAGGATTTCGAGATGGCGGCTAGTGTTGTTCGTGGGTTCAGTCGGCTTTTTCAAGGCAAAGCGTTAATTCGTCGATTACCTTTTGTTTCTTCTGTTCGGTAAGTAAGTTTGATGTGCATACATGTGTAAAGACTGTCTGTTTCCAGCTGAATAGGCGAAGCAAAAGCTTACAAACACACTCGTTCTTCTAATTTGTTTTTGTGCTGATGTCAATCGCTAGTGAAATTTATAGTCAGTCTTACCTGATTAGGTCCAAATTTATTACGCTGTACAACTACTCCAGCACACATTGCGTAAAAATACGAGCTTATTGACTTGCTAGATGGTCTGTACGGGAAAATATTTTGCAGGCACCTGCGGCGACTTCCAGTGAGTGAACTTGAAGAAGAAATGAAGCCTCTGGAGTTACAACCTGAATTAGCGTCCTATGCGGGAACTGTGTTGTACCCTGATGAACAATCCGCTAAGTGGGACGTGGATGGTATGTCTCCTTAGATGTAGTTGAACCTTATTTTAATGCAGCACGGTTATTGTGGCCTTGAGAAGTTCCATATTTTTTT